CAAAAAATTCGTTTATGCAGTGAATAATTGAAATTCCAACTATTTAAAAGTTACAAATTGAAACTTGTTGGGACTATTTTATCGATTTCACGAAACAAACTGTGTATAATCACTGAAATCATGAGACAATCATATTGTTAGACCACCGTTAGAAACCAGGAAGCAGCTATTTCGTTCTGATATGAGACTTATCAGCAAGGCGCATCCTTCTACTCCTTCTCCTTGCATGAATTGAACCTAGAACCTTTGATCTTGTGCCCGATCGTCTAACTTTTGATTAGTGGGTTTGCATCCAATTGTATTAATTTCTGACTCTAATCATTCTAGGGTATTTGCACGACCTCACCTATTTGTCTTCGGCAGTTACTGCCTACACCCAGAATAGTTGACCTGCACTGAATAAATAGACAGCAAAATATCTTAACAATATGTACTAATCAAGTATTTTTAATTAGATATTATGTTATTGTATCCCGTTGCTTGTCAATAATTTATTAAAGTCAACCTGTTCACACATCAATCGATCAAAAGCAACGTGAAACCGTACATTCGTACATCAGTTCAAGTTGCCATACCACCAATTAGCGTACACAGATCGATTCGTCAATTCAAATCCCACAGTAGTAGATGTGGTTAAGGTAATAGCAGTAATCTGACAGATTAAGGTTTGAAGATCTTATTTAAGCAGCAGAAACTAGTGAAATAAACTAAAAAGTAAAAAGATAAAGTGATGAGGATTCAAGGGAGGGGAGTAAACGGACTGAGCAATCAAGGGTTATGGAACATGTACCTAAGTGGCTTCAGCATCAGCTCACGTCAGATGAGCCGATTAATCTGAGAAATAGAAAACCATGTTCTTTGATCGCCCGAACGTAGCTGCTACCTTGACGTGGTGGTCGAGCGTGCTTATCATGACCACCCAACCAAGCCATATTGGCTAGAACATATGTTCCTGAAGGTTATACAATCCAAGGCAGGTCGATTGGAGAATGATGATAATAATAGCAGCTACTCAAGTTCTGAGGGCGAAGTCGTACTGCTGACTGCAGAGTGGTGTTACAGCAGTAAGCTTTTTCCCTCGGACAACCAGCATCTGCAGCGATGCTTCCTTCTCACAAGGAAGGAAATTGTTAGAAAAGGTCGACCTCACCCTACCTCACGGATTTCCGTCTCCGGCGGTAGGGGCTGCCGAATAAGGGCTAACACTCTAAAGGCCATTCGTGACTGGCCTCAAGTAGTTATTCCTTGAACACTGCGCTCGCGCTCCTAGGTCTGGAAGAACCATATTAATCCTCTTCCTTTTCAGATTCCTCAAGAAACATCCTTCCACTGTGTGGGCAGCCGGGAAGTAACGCCCGACCTCATGCACACAAACGCGGACGAGACAAAATTGGTCACAACCTAATCCTTTCTACACCTTCTAATAACTCTTTTATCTCCTCGACCAGCCCTTCTTTTGGTCATTTATAACCTCACGCCACTGAAGCAAACGGTATGAACTCTTGAAACATTATTCCTGGTACCTTGAAACATCGTAATAAATTACATATAGGACCTTTTAATGTTAGGACCCTATGCCGAATAGAGCATTAGGCTTTATCAGCTAGAACTGCGGAATCCCGTGTGATCCATTTATGTTGCGTCTCCAAAACGCGTATACAAGGTCCGGGTAAAATCATCTGTTTGATCCCACCTGGTGGATATAGAGACAAAACAATGTTTACGCCTTGTGTTCCTGGAAGCCTTGATGCCGCTTCGCTGGTGTAGATATATTAATAAGTCTCAGTGTAGAACTAGTTCTCTCTTAGACTGGATCCCGAAAGAAAGTCACTTATGCGCTGTCCGACTAAACGGGTCGGGACGGACTCTGAAAGGTAAAGAAGCTTACAACTGCTTCTTCGTTGTAACTACCTACGCTCCCAATGACTGCTGTTCAGACGACATGAAAGATAAGTTATACAGAAACCTCTCTAAACTCCCCCAAAATGTTAAGCGCTCTGATATATTAATAATGGCTAGTGACGTCAATGCTCAAGTAAGTAGACTAAATGAAGATGAAAGACACCTTGGTCCATCTTATGGTGTCGCAGCTAATAGAACAGATAATGGCGACCGTCTGCTGCAGCTATGCTCAGATAACTGCCTATTCCTAGCAAGCACTAATTTTAAGCATAAGGATAAACCCTTTTTCACCTGGCGACCGCCAAAGCCAACCGAACTAGATCACATCGCTATACGCCGTCGGTGGAGAGGCTCTATTGAAGACTGTCACTCAATCTAGAGCACTTGCTTAGTCTCAGACCATGCTCTATTACGAGCGTGTAAATGTTTGCCCCTTACTGGACGCAAAGAAACTTCTTGTGCTCTACCTCATGATAATAAAGCTAAAAATATTTCACAGGATCAACTAGAAAAACAGGTATGCAGTCATGTAGTAACTGATGCCCGCTCTAAGGCGGCTTTAAATGACATCAAAAAGGATGTGGAAACAACAGTGATAAATTCTAGTGAAGTAAACCATAAAGTTAGGGAGAAACCATGGACTCAGAAGCCTCTACTGAACTGATGGATGCTCGAGAGCTCATTTCGCCTGGCAACAGTATCAACTATTTAGACTCATCAAGTAACCCGGAACTGAGTGAAAATATCTCGGAATAGGATGTCTGTACCATTCGTTCTTAATCCAGGGGATTGGATCGATGAGCAGAACTTTTAGGGGATCAGTTCAATCGGCGTTCAGTCACACTTCGGTTGCCCACGATCTCCAGTCATCCTGAATGGCTAACCGATGTATGTCCTCCATGTCCTTATGAAGTTGAGAAAGCTATAAGACATTTGGAGAGAGGCAAAGCTGCGGGTCTGGCGCCTAGGAGTTTAAAGGATGGTGGCCCAGTTTTGGTAGCTAGATTGACTGAAATCTTAGGTAGAATCTGGGAACTAGGCCTAATCCCGTCCGACTGGTCTAAATCCCTGATTGTCTCAATTTATAAGAAAGGACAATAGTCTTCTTGTGACAATCACAGGGGAATAAGTCTTATTGATATAGTTTCTAAATTGTTAGCCTCGATTATCCTGAGACGCTTAACTAGAGCCGGTGAAGAGCAGACTAGCGAAAACCAGTCTGGTTTTCGATCTGGTCGTGGCTGGATAGACCACATGTTTGCACTACGACAGGTCCTGGAACACAAACACACATTTTGTCGTCCGACAGTAGTTGCCTTCTTGGACCTTAAGGCGGCATTCGGCTAAGTGGATCGTGAGGTACTGTGGCAGTGCCCGTCATAAAAAGGTGTACCAAAGGAGTACATCAACCTTATACAAGCTCTCTACTCGAACACTTCAGGTTGAGTTAGAGCTTATGGCGAACTGTTATCGGAATTCTTTGCTTCAAGTGGTGTACTGCAGGGATGTCTACTTTCCCCATTCTTGTTCAATTGGTCATAGACATGATTCCAGATATAACATCATCTTTGTCTGAATTTTCAGGAGTGCATCTTCCACCTGGAAAATCACTTGCTGACTTGAAATATGTCTATGACACAGTCCTATTCGCTGAAGAGACTGACAAAATGTAGAGTCTTCTGACCACCCTAAGCAACAATGCAAGCGTGTACGGAATGCGGTCCCCAACCTCAAAATGCAAAATTTTGCTTCAAGATTAGGTTGCATCGGCACCTGAACAAATAATAGGGAGTGATGTAGCCGAACGTGTAGACCGCTTCACTTAGCTGAGGAGTATCACCAGTGTTGATGGCCCGGTGACTGGTGAAATCTGAGCACGGATAGAGAAAGCTCGATTAGCTTTTGGCAACCTGCGTCACTTATGGCGAAGGCGAGACATCCGTTCGCTAACCAGTTACGAGTGTGATGCGCAGTAGTTCTCTCCGTCCTACTATATGGCTGTGAAACATGGTCAGCCAAGGCAGAAGATATTCGTAGGTTGCTGGTTTTCGATCATTGGTGTCTCCAAAGCATTGCCAAAGTATCGTGTGACAACCGTATAAGCAATGCTGTTATTAATAAACTTGTGGCAGATCAATAAATGAAATATTGAAACTTCATCATTTGAGGTGAATGGGACGTGTGTTAAGAATGCCCATCCACCGACTGCCTCGACGAGCTGTTTTGCGATATAGCATTAGCTTGGACGAAAGCTAAGGGCGGCCAGAATATAACATGGCAGAAATGCATGAACCCGCTGACAAGTGGACTAATTCATGTCGGTAGGTGTCGACTACTCGGTTGGGGTCCGCGACATAGCTCAAAACCGTTTGCAGTGGCGCATGGGTATTTACTGTTTGTGTTCTATGAAAATCTAACCTTCCTCAATACCCTTATCTTTCTCTTTCTAAATTTACCTCACTGAATTATACTTCTTCAATAACATCTTCAAACCCAAATCTCCGCGATTACTTCTAACACTTTTACTACCTCAACTACTATGGGATTTGAATTGATAATAATATCACTGTGTTAATGTGGTATGGCAACTTGAACTGCTGTACTTGCGTGCAAAGTTCTACGTTCCTGTTGATGATGATGATCATCAGTCGCATAAGATTGGCATCAAGGCAGCCTTCAAAAAATATAAACATTTTGAAGGACAAATTTGGAGGTTTATGGAATCCTTGACTATTCGGTAAAACAAAAACCACTCATGTGTACAGATACAATGTGTTATGATACTGAATTTACCCTGGTAATCTTTAAGCCGAAGGTAATATTAAATTTCTTCCCTTTCTTATTCTTTTCATATTAGGATAATTTTCTCCATCGTTTATTTTAAATTATCACCCTATATCTATTTGAACTTTTATTTTATTGATTTTTTATTATTCTTCATATAAAATGCCTTGATAAATGTACATGTGTGACCAGATTGTTCGACAAGTGTAGCGCAAATGCATCAGATTTTTCCAATCAAATACTTCCTCTCACTGTCCTATCAAAATTTATAAAAGGGACTAATTGTTTTCAAACTAACTTTTTTTTCATTTTAGCAATCTCAATAATACTCGCCTCAGAAGAGACAGCAATTATCAAGTATCAACCTGCTTATTTGAAAACCAATATGAATGGAAGTTAGTTAACAATAAACGTTTTCTTATTTTGTATGCCATCACCAATATCCATTTTGTAAAACTACTTTTAATCAACACATTTTATTATTTGTCTCACTGATCGACATACGTATGTATCAGTTTACTAGCCTATCAGTAATTAAAGAGGTCAGGATGATTATCAGACGAATGAACAGTGGCAAAGCAGCGAGCCCGGACAACAATCGAGCCAAGTCAGTAAAGGCAGATGTGGAAGAAATTGCGAAGATACCCTCAATTCTTTTCAGTAAGATTTGAGAGGATGAACAAGTACATGGAATGACGATGAAATAAGTCACTAACGGTTGGCCGTCGAAGAACTTTGAGGGTGACATGAGGCAACTGTATCAGTGGCGGGATTCACTATGCATCGTGAACGATTTTTCGATGTTTGATGAAAGAGCAGTGGTACTAGAATCCTTTCGTGCAAAGGTGCTGATACAGTTGCATCTTGGTCATACAGAGGTTAAACGAATGAAGTCCATAGCTAGGAGTTATGCATACTGGCCTCTCATGGATGGACATGTCACAGTGTTGGTTAAAAAATGTATGCGGTGTCAGAAAACGGCAAAGAAGGATATCTGATCAAAATTAAAGAAAGAAAAGTGAAATAATTTCTGGGTTTACACTCTTCCTTTACTATCAGGCAAAGTCTTCAACAGAGTGTTGTTAAACCGATCAATAGACTCCGCGAGTACGCAACTTTGAGATCAGCAGGATGGATTTCATAAGGATCGATAGTGTGCCGACCTAACTGCAACATTACTGATCAGTGTGGAACTGTCAATAGATATAGAACTAACTACTCCAGATCAACTTCATTGACAACAAAAATGCATCTGATAGAGTGGACAGTAAAACACTATGTAGTCTTCTTGGAAATTATGACGTGCCTGAGAAGATAGTCAACATCATATGGAATTCATATGAGGGATTGGACTGCAAAATCGAGCACGGAGGTTAGCTGACGGAATCATTGTTGGTGGAGACCGATGTCAGTTATCGATGCTTTCTCTCACCATTTCTCTTCCTCCTGGATATCGACTGGATTATGAAGAAGGAGGGAGGGAAGCATGGGATACGGAAGACAGTCAGGACGCATCTGGATGATTTGATCTTCGCAGATGACCTAGTTATTCTATCTTACACTCAACAAGAAAAGGGCGAGTATCGTGGCAGTTTCACCAGCAATAATTCTCATCATACACAAATGGAATCGCAAGATTCGCCCATACAAAAAGGCATGCATCAAACAAATCACTACTGAAGCAGAAGCTTTAGAATATGTAAAATCTCTTACATATTTGGGTACCATCATCGATAGGCACAGTGGATCTGACGCAGATGTAGACGAGCTCATAGGGAAAGCAGGGACTGCACTTCTACAACTGAAAAATATCTGGAACACAAAATAACTAACAAAAACACCAAACTCACAATTTTCGATTCAAATGTCAAGACAGTCCAACTGTATTAGACGTAAACTTGGAAAACTACGAAAGCCATCATCCAGAAAATACAAGCATTCATGAAAAGTTGTCTATAAAAATATTTCGGATTCGTTGGCCAAACACCATCAGCAACAATCTACTGTGGGAGAGTACAAATCAGATATCATTGGAGGAAGAAATCAAGAAAAAGCGGTGGAAGTGGATGGGAGACACACTCAGGAAATCATCCAACTGCGTCAAAAGACAAGCCCTCACTTGGAACCCTCAGGGTCGACCGAAAAGAGGAAGACTAAGGAACAAACTACTCTGAGGAAAGGAGACAGAAATGAGAGGAGTTAACAGAAGTTGAACGGAACTTTGAAGAGTTCCAGGGCAGAGAATACTGGTCGACGGCCTATGCTCCATTAGGTATAATAGGTGTGAGTCAGTAAATATCTTTGATTTCATACTTGTTCTAACCACACGATATTTTCTGTGTACATGATTGTGTTTGAAAAATATGATTATTTCAAATGAACCGGTAGATTTGTTAGCTGTGCACAAATGAGAGTATGTTGAATAGATTAGCTCAGAATGATCAAATGAAAGGTCAGTAAGGAGTTCATTGAATGAAATACTGCTAAACGTATATGACTTAGTTGTTAGAGAAGAGAGGACAATAGAATCAGTTGTGTAAATTATTGTCAAATATCTCTCTATACAACTGAAAAATATGTCTACTTTTTCAGCAATCCATTATATGACTATGATAATAACAACATAGACTCAGCTGTCACCCATCATATTTTAAATAATCCGATATTACTCGAAATATTTCAGTGGATTAGGCACGTTTTTTTATTTTGATATACATGTAATCAATTTTCTGCGTATCCATCGTATTGATAACTCAATAAAACCGCTAATCATATACATCAGTTTAGAGAGAAATTTAAAGTTAACGGTAATTGAAACTGATCATTGAAATCTGATTGTTAAGTTATACAGAACCGAATATCATTTGTCAACATCATCACTAACTTCGTAAATATCAAGTGTTTACTATTACTAATAATTTGATATTGAACTGAAATTCTGAACATAAAGTATTTTTTTTTTATCGAATAGACGATTCAAACACAAATACTATGCGCGTTATTCAAGAACAAACAGATGGAATCGGATTGGAATGGAAACCAATGAAGCATGAAACATTCTCATATGTCTCTGTGGAGGCATATATTAGCTATTTTTCAAAACCATCTAATAGAACTACTGAAGGCAATCTCGGCTTTCTATCCTATACAAGGAATCCATGCACATCTATAACACATTATGCTAATGGGTACTATACCAAAATAATGTTTGTCCCAGTGCAATTTATATCATATTCCATTGATTATATGTCAGGTGAGTTTTGCTACTACTCATACTCTATTTCTGTCTATTTTTTTTCTTCCCTCCTCTTTGATTTCTACTTCATTTCACAAAATGAACTGAGTTTTCGAATTTTCTGATTCTTCATAGAAAATCATTAGATCGGAGATTTAATAGTCATTTTGAACTGCGAATGGATGGATATTGATAAATGATAGTGTTTTAGCCTTGTTTTAGGAGTTTTTTCCACGAGTTATTTTTTACCAGGATGAGGTCTGTAATCTCACATGTAAATCTCCTCTTTTATCCGGGTTTAGGAATGAGCTATATATATGTTCTGCTTTGTTTTACCCAGTTCCAAGGATTAAAAATGTTCACATTGAAAAAGTATCCGATACATCTTCATTGGTAACATGGCAACATGAAGAATCAACATGTATGACAAATGGTTTAACAATTATTTTTCACGGGCAATCATCATCCAAATTAGAAATGGTTATTATTCCAAGCAGTCAATCTCAATATCATCTAAATAGTTCAACAACAACAACAACAGGTCAAAGAGAAATTTTCATTCTATTCAACGTACATGATAATCAATTCTCTTTACCGACATTAGGTAATATTCTGTTTTATTTAATGTTACATCATAGTCTCACAGGGTTTTGTAATAAATAAAAGAACAAACACAAGGTTATGCCGCTAATAACAGATGCTTAACTTTTAAAATTAATTGAACAGTTTATTTTTTTTATTCAACAAAAAAATAGAAATAAGCCAGAACAAATATGTCGATCGATTTGTTACACTACAGTCTAAATCTTAAAGAGCATACTTTCAGCATCAGTGAACATTGCTTTACATTACCAAGAAATTGAAGTTACACACTGATTATCTGTTGTTGATATAATAGTATTTACAGTTAATATGATTTGTATAATTTAGTTATCAATGCAAATATTGTAGAAGTAAACGTAAACACAATAACTGTAGTGAACGAGAACGCAGGTCAGGGCAACCGAATTGTATTTATCGAAAATTACAGAGTTAATTGGTAAAATAGGAAAACCATATCGTAAACTGTTAATTTGCAGAACATCAATCTATTGTCTGAAATTTCACTGTTCATGCGTTTCATAGAAATTCTATTGTGTTCACACTCTTCCTTTCTTGATCTTCTCCCATCTTCTGCTGCCAGACATTACGTTTTCACTTGCGACATATACTACTTATAAGTAGAGCGCACCACATAACATGCATGTTTTTTTTATTGGCTTCAAAATTAATGAGTTCCGTTAATGCTGAATCTGATAGAACGATCTGATCATAGGTGAATGAGAACTTCAGGGGAAATATCCACTTGAACACTGAATCTGAAAGTAGAGATTATATTAGTAATTGAAGTTTGATAGATTATTGAATTTTCATGATACAATCAGGTTTATGATTAGTTGAACTAGTGAAGTCTATTTCAATCATCTGTTTTGTGTCAACCATCATAAATCAAGAACGGGTGAATGTTTTTAGCACCAATGCAGGTCTGACAGCCGATTCATCTTTGTCTGCGACTTATTTTCAGTGAACTGACAAGACCACACAAGTGGGAATCTAACCTAGGACCTTTACTGTAATGCGCAAACACCTAACCTCCTGATCATTGAACTACAATCCAACGATCCGCACAACTTTATTACTTACAATTATCTTATGCATGTCTGTGACTAGCTTCGTAGTCCTAAGGAGAAGCCATGACCAATGGAGTTCAACTGCAATGGATTTGAAAAATTTACCTACTGAAGATAATGAAAGTTACTCGCTCATTATCGTGGAATAACGTCGATCAAGTTAAATGCAGGCTAAGTGGTTAAGTATTCGCAAGCATAGTTATAGATATTTCATAAATTCAAAGTATTCATGGTGAGAGTAATCTATATTATTCTACCGTGATTATTGCAAATTTTTAAAAGTAAAACTTCATTTCTTAAGTTTTTCGATTACACACACGCACACTGTTTGTTTTCCTTTAAATTTCTATGTTTTCTACTTGAATCCAATTGAAAATTCGACAGATGTAAGTTTATTCCAATTGATTTTTTAAACGATGCATTACGCTTTGTATCAATAGGTTAAACAATATATATATATATATATTCAATTCCATTCTACCAACAGAGTTAAAAGCCAGTCCGAATATTGCAATCTATGTTTTTGAAATAATTTTCTATTTTAAACGTAGATTGGTCATATGACTGGATATTGTACAAAGACTAAATGATATTCACTTTTCTATAAACCGATACAATGTCAAGATCTCCTTTGCGTTGAATGAAACGTAGTTTGTATTACTTTTATTGTACTAATCTTTTTTTTGGACCCATGTGTCATGATATAATTATTATTATTAACAAATATTTCCATTTTATTGTAGAAAGGAAACGCTCAATGTAAGTTGTTAAAATACGTATGCATTTCGAATATTGATCAATCAATGTTTCAATACGTGATTTGAACATCATCATGCTTAGATTAGTCACTTGTCTAAAAGATTCATTGTGTCAATGGAATTGTTGATCAAAAATTATCATATGTCACATTAAAGATGTTAGCCAGATCGTGAGTTATTTTACTGAGTAGTTGTTTCATTCTCTTGTGTTCAAGAGATAGTTTATGCTGTCAGTATATATTGAGATCAGTCTCTTAATGATACTTCTTTGAAGTTGGCTTTATAGAACAGTTCACCTAACATTTATTTAGGACCTGGGTATATTTGCTTGCAAATGTGTAGACAACTAGCATAACTTTCGGTTGTTGTGTATAAAGTTGAATTTAAGACAGTCATCCTATGGAATCCTGTTGTTATTACAATGCAATAAATGAAGCCTGATTTCGTTCCTGTACATATTTGTTTCATATATATATATATATATATATATATATATATATATATACAAAGATTTTTGTTAATCTTTGAAAGATCTTTACAAAGAGTGGTCATGGTTGAATAAGCAGTGAAAAATCACAACCTACTTATCGTTATCTTGATATACTCTAAAAAAAATTGAGTTGTTTACAATTGCAGTAATATAGAAATTCAAGTGAGAAATGTGAATAAATCTATACGATCTGTTATATATCATGTTTTTATTTTTTATGTTGAAAAATTATATTTAACAGTTAGAATCAAAAAGATGAAAACCATAAAGAAACGATTTCCAGTTAAAAGAGAAGGTAAGCACAAAGTATTGATAAAAAAAAAGAAGGAAACTAACCCGAAATAAACGATGAACAAGAGATGAAAGGTGAGAAAACAATACAAAAGATAGAAAATAGGTGATAACACGCAATCTGCAGTGGTAAAGCTAGTCTAAAACACACATTGAAAACAAGAACACATATCATAAGGTGAAGTAAAGAGATTTCAAATAAAAGAAGTGACAACAAGCATATGAAAAAAAATTATACAAGCAAAAATATGGAGCCGTACATGGAGAGTAAGAACACAGAAGGAAATCATAAGGACAGACGAAAATCGCTGCCTAATTAAGGAAACTCACAACCGAATATTAGGAATGGATGAAATACACTGGACTTCAAAAATGTAGATGGTCTCAAACACATATACTGCATCACTGCGACCATGAAGAGGAAAATGTCTCGCACAAGAAGTTGCACTAATGCCGTCCACAGAAGCACAAAACGGATTGATAGAATGAGAATCTCATGGACCCGTATTGTTCAAAAACAACCTTCAAAACAAAGAAACAGGGAATGACATTGAACCACATCCAATACCATGCGCCTACTAACGACTACAATGGAAACGATAAAATTCGATTGTAGGAGAGGCTGTGGTCGATATTCGATGAGCGCTCAGCCAAGAATCAGGACATTCTGACGACCGAATCAAACCTCAATGTTGAAGTCGACAACAAACACTGCAAGTGTTTATTACAAACTTTCGTCAGAATGCTGGTCGAAGCTACGGATTCTAGATAGCCTTCACCATTAAGTGCCAGGCCTTTCACGATCTTCTCGCTTAAGCGGAAACTAACGTGGAAAACAACTGAGAATGGATTAGAGAATCAGAAGGTTTAGCATGTCATCGGGTCTCCAATCACAAGAAACACCACCAAAGGTGATGAAACTATGCTGATTACTTCAGTAGGATTCACGAAAAGAGCAGGAGAAGCCAGAATCGATATCAGCCGAACATGAGTAGAGAGAACCAAGGTTGAAGCTGAATACACAGAGACAAACAAGCAAGTTAAAAGGAGCAGCACAGCCGGCAATAATACACATGTGGAAGATCTATCAACGAAAATGGTTTGACAGATGGTAACATGTCGCGACTATCTGGTACAATGAAAAAGCTTGCTGCAAAATATCATTGACTGTCAGGCATATACCGAACGATGCGTGAGGTCATCAATGATGCTTGAATGTAACTGATCCAATTCAACAAAATACGTGAAAATGAGAAAGAAATCTAAAACGCGGACGTCGTGGCACCATAGATGCTTCTTCCGATTACGAACAGAACGAAGAACGATACATTATCTCAGCACAGAATTTAGGTGCAAAATAAATGATTACTTGCCATCTGCAAAAAACAACTGTCTGATCCAGTTGTGGGAAGCACCTTGTCGTCCGTGATGTTGTGGGGTCCATTTATCTGCGCTTTCTGATACCACGGTAATTAGCTCGTCTAGACAATCGTCACTATGCAGCGTCTGACGGTTTATAAATCAGAAGACGAATTCGAAGTGTGAATTAGTTTACATTATGGACACAGCGCATTAGGAAGTTGAAAAGCAGCGAAAGAATGAGAGAAGGAATCGAAAGAAGAGGCGAAGCGCATTGGAGAAGGCTAAGAGCAAACTACAAAGAAATAGAGCATGACAGGGATATATAAAGAGACAAATATAAGACAGACATGAAAAAGGCGAAATAGGCACACATGAAAAGAAAGCGACGAATGACTGACAAGGTCAACTGACACGTCATGTGCGATCAAACAAACCAGAAAATAATAAGAACGAATGATACATATAAATTGTTGCTACGCGAATGGCTTGGTTAAATAGATTATTCGAAAAAACTCAACCAAATGTAATTCAAATGAACTGAAATATACGTTGAGGCACTGGAATGAATCAGTTGTGTGTCAGTGTTTTTCATGTACGTTGATATATGATTTTTGTGAATGTACCTTCGCGGATTCACCAACAGTCTGACGTGGAAGGATATTTTGTCTCTAATTTTACCTGTAGACTTGGTCGTCAATATCCCATTCAATTATCCATTTTACATCCCATTCACACAACAGCTGAGAAAGTCCCAGAAAAGAAGAAAGAGAATAAAGGCTCCGAAAGCAGTGAGTCCACCACCAAAGGCTTCTTTGTCTGTCTATTCTCGCCCAATCTCTAACCACATATCAATTCCTTCAGAAATACATATTGTGATACCCGTGTCATTTTTTCTTGAATCATGTTTCCCATTACCCGTTGTCACAAATCTACTTATTTCCATTTCACAGCTTCTTGCGTTTCTCTTTGATTTAGTTAATTGTTCTGCTGTTTGCGGAATTTCTGTCATGTGAACCATGGTTTTCACCTGATTTAACTTTGCATCTCTCTGACGTTTGTTTTTAACTCAGTTTAATTTCCTCCCTTCAACTATAATACTGATCGTTTCCCTGTTTGGTACATACTACTCAAATATTCTTTTCATGTTTCCACTCCGTACATTCATTCACGTTATTTGTAGTTAATCACCATCATTCATTTTATTCGTACTGTCTTCTTATTTTGGTCAGCTGATGAAATCCCAATAAATTCGTTCTTTCTTGAGAATATTTATATATTCCATTTGCATCCGATAAACGGAACTGCTTTTTCACTGATATAAAATGTCTTGATATTGAACTTTGTCCGCCATATTGCAGATTTGACCCACTATCAATTATATGCACATGCTATATAATGGAGTAACTAGATGGGTAGACAGGAAATCGAATTTACGTTCTTTCACTCTTGTTTTACAGAAACAGATAAATTGCCAACAGATTCCAAAGAAACTCCAGTGAATAAAAGTGAGTAACGTTTCTTAGTAATCTGATGTTCAGCCTAGATTACTAAGATGTTTGCGTTTGTGAAATAAGCTTATTCATTACTTTCTCTTATTTATGTAACCAAGCTTTTCATAGTAGCAGATAGTCGCGACATGTTACCAAGTGTCAGACCATTTCTCCTTGTAGTTGATTGATCTTCCACGTGTGAACGGTTGTCTGCTGTGCTATTATTATTATTATTAGTATTATTATTTTCACCTGTGCTGCTGCTTTTACCTTGCTTGTTTGTCTCAGCTTCAAACTTGATTTCCTCTACTCATGTACGGCTGATATCGATTCTGGCTTCTCCTGCTCTTTTCGTGAACCCTTTTGAATTAATCAGGATAGATTCATCAATTCTGTTAGTGCTTCTTGTGATTGGACACCCGATGACTTGCTGAACTTTCTGATTCTCTGATCCATTCTCAGTTGTTTTACACGTTAGTTTCCGCTTAAGCGAGGAGATTGTGAAAGGCCTGGCACTTAATGGTGAAGGCTATCTAGAATTCGTTGCTTCGACCAGCATTCTGATGAAAGGTCGTAGTAAACATCGGCAGTGTTTTTCGCCCGGTTATTCAGTGTCCTCTCAGTCCCCGTTTCATTTTGGCGACCAGCAAGTGATGATCTGTAGCTATGTCAGATCCTCCCTTTCTTCACACGTCAATCTGAACTTTCCACTGAATAATTTGTGGTCTATTTGATTTTGTGTACTTTTTGAATCCGTCTGTGTTTGAGTATGTTGTGTCAATGACTGCTTCGTTGAAGGGACACAGATTTGCGAATCTCTCACCGATTTTGTCCGATTCGCCAGTCCATGTCATCCCATTATTTCCTCATATTCGATGTTGTGGAAATCAATATTGAGATTTGATTCTTTCTTCAGAATGTCCTGATTCTTGGCTGAGCGCTCATCGAATATCGACCGCAGCCTCTCCTACAATCGAATTTTATCGTTTCCATTGTAGTCGTTAGTAGGCGCATGGTATTGGATGTGGTTCAATGTCATTCCCTGTTTCTTTGTTTTGAAGGTTGTTTTTGAACAATACGGGTCCATGAGATTCTCATTCTATCAATCCGTTTTGTGCTTCTGTGGACGGCACTAGTGCAACATCTTGTGCGAGGCATTTTCCTCTCCATGGTCGCAATAACGTAGCATCTGTGTTTGAGGCCGTCTACTTTTTCGAGCCTGTGTCCAATGTGTTTCATCCATTCCAATCACTCGGTTGTGAATTTCGCTAATGAGGCAGCCGTTTTATGCGGTTTGTTTGATTTCTTGCATTGTGCGATCATTCAGTGTATGTTTTCTATTTTTGCTTTCATTTTCACAACCTCTATAGTTTATGTTTAATAATAGTTCTATGGAACGATGTCTTTCATCTATCATATCCATCTCCTAATTTTGAAAATAACGTTTCTAGTCACCGCCATCTCAGCCTTTTGGTTTCACAAGATGCGATAGCTAACACATCGCACAATCATAATTCTTTATGTCTGCAATGGACTGTCAGTAGCCTTAAACACTCTCAGGCCGTTTTATGTATACTATATGATCATTTAAAAGTACTAATATTATTTTCATTCACATTATTGCGAGGCCTTTTTTAATTATTATCAATATTATTGTTATTATTAGTGTCCCATTTGCAACGTACATACTTAAAGCAAACGAGACTGCATTTATAGTGATTCAAAATATTTGAGTATATCACTTCGTTTGAATGTAAGTATGGGATAACATGTGGCGTGTTACAGATGGAGGAATGTATGTTGTCACGGTTAAGAGAGATAATCATGTTATGTGTGTCTCGATTCTTGGGATTTCGAGGTACACTCTGAAGCTTTACCTACTGTGTTATTTTGTATTAGTTCTGATAAAGCGTTTCTAAACATCGAATTGTCCAGGAATAAACATTATTCTTAGTTGGAAGTAGTATACACTACGGTTTTTTGCAACAACATTTTTTTGGTTTGAAGGTGCTAAGATGTCTGCGAATCCTTCAGCTGACTAAGTGAACATTTTTTTTTCTGTGAGAAAACGGACATAATACGTTGCACGCTTTGCAGATAAATTAATAGTGAGCTGAATAATTGGGTTTACACCGGTGTCGCTAGAGCAGTGTTGTGGTATTATTGATGTGAGAATGACTTACGAATAAGAAGTTGTTGAGCGTTTGAGTTCGACAAAAATGGTTTCAAAATATCAAAATTTGTAAACACGATTAAAATTATTTTATAACTTTGAAAATCTAGTGAAAGTATTTCTAAGTTAACCGATATGATAGTGGGAGTCGATTGAAATATCGAAAAAAATTGTTTTGATTAGAGAAGAACATTAATTTGTAGGGTAAAAGCGAGAGGGATTCACAAAAGACGCGATGCAAAGCATAGAAATTAAAGTTGTGACTAAACATGTGAAGGAGGCGTTCAACCGACAAAAATTACGAAACCAAGATGAATATCAAAATGAAAGCACTCACAGTCCAATGATGATCAATGTGAACATAGTCAGGAAACCATGATGTAAACTAAGGCTATATTAAAAAAAAGAACAAAGAACGATAGATTAGCTCAACACAGAATTTAGGTGTAAAATAAATGATTACTTAGCATCTACAAGAACGAAACTGTCTGATCCAGTTGTGAGTAGCACCTTGTCGTCCGTGATGTGTCAGTTGTGTGACGTTGTCAGTGCTTTTCATGTACGTTGATATATGATTGTGTGAATGTACCTTCGCGGATTCACCAACAGTCTGACGTGGAAGGATATTTTGTCTCTAATTTTACCTGTAGACTTGGTCGTCAATATCCCATTCAATTATCCATTTTACATTCCATTCACACAACAGCTGAGAAAGTCCCAGAAAAGAAGAAAGAGAATAAAGGCTCCGAAAGCAGTGAGTCCACCACCAAAGGCTTCTTTGTCTGTCTATTCTCGCCCAATCTCTAACCACATATCAATTCCTTCAGAAATACATATTGTGATACCCGTGTCATTTTTTCTTGAATCATGTTTCCCATTACCCGTTGTCACAAATCTACTTATTTCCATTTCACAGCTTCTTGCGTTTCTCTTTGATTTAGTTAATTGTTCTGCTGTTTGCGGAATTTCTGTCATGTGAACCATGGTTTTCACCTGATTTAACTTTGCATCTCTCTGACGTTTGTTTTTAACTCAGTTTAATTTCCTCCCTTCAACTATAATACTGATCGTTTCCCTGTTTGGTACACACTACTCAAATATTCTTTTCATGTTTCCACTCTGTACATTCATTCACGTTATTTGTAGTTAATCACCATCATTCATTTTATTCTTACTGTCTTCTTATTTTGGTCAGCTGATGAAATCCCAATAAATTCGTTCTTTCTTGAGAATATTTATATATTCCATTTGCATCCGATAAACGGAACTGCTTTTTCACTGATATAAAATGTCTTGATATTGAACTTTGTCCGCCATATTGCAGATTTGACCCACTATCAATTATATGCACATGCTATATAATGGAGTAACTAGATGGGTAGACAGGAAATCGAATTTACGTTCTTTCACTCTTGTTTTACAGAAACAGATAAATTGCCAACAGATTCCAAAGAAACTCCAGTGAATAAAAGTGAGTAACGTTTCTTAGTAATCTGATGTTCAGCCTAGATTACTAAGATGTTTGCGTTTGTGAAATAAGCTGATTCATAAATTTATCTCTATTTAGCCATTACATAAATGGAACGTTTTTTCAGCTGTGTCGTTCGTTTCAGAGCGTCAAACGACTTTTGCATTATTCGTCAACATTGATATCAGTGAATCTCGGCAATGATATTTTTGTCAACTATTCATTGTCTTTTTCAGGAGCTCGTGCAGACTATTTGAGTTTTTTGCGCTCGATTCTTGTTCATTCCATACGTTTCCAGATATTTTATAGTCTTCAATGAATGAGGTCTAACCATTCGACTTTCTATTTGTAGTCTGCAGGCAGTTAGTTTTGAGCTTGTTTGTCCCGTGGTTTGAATGAAAAAGTTTGTTTCAGGGCAGTAGGCATTTTGGATACCAGCCACTATCACATTACTAGGGCGCAGATCGGTTACTTGCAATGTGAAAATTAATGGGGAGAAAATTCCTTTTCTAATAAGAAGAGGATTTCAGAACTAGGTTATTATAGGTTATTATAGGTTATCAAGAGGAGTAGACCTATTACCAGGTGGCTCGCTTATTGACTTAGAATACGCCGATGACATAGTCCTACTTGGTGAAGACGCTGTCAAAATGCAGAGTCTTCTGACCACCCTAAGCAACAATGCAAGCATGTTCGGGATGCGGTTTTCCCCCTCGAAATGCAAAATGTTGCTTCAAGATTGGGTTTCATCGGCACCTGAACTAGTGATAGGGAGTGGAGTGGTCGAACGTGTAGACCGCTTCACTTATCTTGGTAGTCTCATCAGTGCTGATGGCCTGGTGACTGACGAAATCTCGGCACGCATACAGAAGGCTCGATTGGCTTTTGCCAACCTGCGTCACTTATGGCGTAGGCGAGATATCCGTTTGCTGACTAAAGGACGAGTGTACTGCGCAGTGGTTCGCTCCGTCTTACTTTATGGCTGTGAAACATGGCCAATGAGAGTAGAAGATACTCGTCGGTTATTGGTTTTCGATCATAGGTGTCTTCGAAGCATTGCTCGTATATCGTGGGACACCCGAGTAAGCAACGCTGTTATTAGGAATCGGGTGCTAGGTAAGAATGGCAGATCAATCGATGAAGTGGTGAAACTTCATCAGTTGAGGTGGTTGGGACACGTGTTGCTTATGCATAACCACCGACTGCCTCGTCGAGCTTTGTTTTGTAGTGTAGGAATAGGTTGGAAGAAAGCTAGTGGCGGCCAGACCAAAACATGGCATAAATCCATGAAGTCATTGACGAGTGGACTGAGCCATGTCGGTAATTGTCGACTACCTGGTTGGGGTCCGCGAGATGATAATAATCGATGGTTAGAGACCTTGAATGACATGGCTCAAAATCGTTCGCAATGGCGCCAGTGCATTTATTCTTTGTGTTCTCTCAAATCCTAATCTTCTGGGTTCTTCAACACCTCTAGCTTTTACTTTCTAAACTTATCTCATTGAATCATACTTCGTGAATAATATCTTCTAATTCTAACCTCTCCGATTACTTCTAATACCCTTACTACCTCTTTTACCATGGGATTTGAATTGACAATTATATCTCTGTGCTTATGTGGTATGGTGACATGAACTGATGTACTTACGTACGAAGTTCTACGTTGCAACTGACTGATAGGTTATCAAGTTTATTATTCGTGAGCGAAGGTTGCGAGATAAGACCTAAGTGTCAGTGAGGGAGAAGAAACAGAGATAACAGACGAGATAGATCAGTTGAGTGATCTGATGGCAACTTACTTTCTATTTCACTAACTAAAGTTCGGTGCTTCGAAACACTTTCATCGAAATTGCGTCTACTATTTCTAACTAATAATGCCATTGAAAGGGTATATTATTGTCAACTTATCAGTGATAGTTCAAAAGTTATGGCATGTTGAACAAACAGATAACTGAGCGATTTCTTATTGTGGAACCTGCGCTTGGCAATTTGCAACTAATTTACAATCCAATGATCAGTGGGGTTTTCTTTCAATAGATTTGATTTTTTTCTTAGGCGTTTCACCTTTGTATATTCTCTGAATTAGATGACGATATTTAATTTATCTTTATCTGGCGTACCTGTTTTCGGTTTATATTTATTTGTATTAGAACTCGTGCAACCTGATCTTTCTACCGTTGTTTTTTTATTTACTTACTTTAATTTTTTGGCTTCGTCTTTTTTTCTTATCCCTTATCAGTAATTATGCTTATCTTCTTTACTAGCGACACAGTAGTTATGTCTCTCTCTTCGATGAAGAAATTATATAATCATTACTATATTGTTTGAGAAATAGTTTACTGGACAACTTGTGCTTTCCTATAGGGACCTGAATACTGTCAATCGATGGCTACTTGACCAGCAATTCCAAGACTCAATCTAACTATACAATTAACCGCCACCACGTAATAATATTTTGGCTATCAGCAACTTACCTACCGATCAGTTACATCTCCGACTTGGTGTGTTCTTCTTTTTGACTCTACAAACCGTCTTAGTTCGTGTTTTACCCGGGTACAATACTTAATGTTCAGTAATGACGGGTCTATCATTTTGTGAATGAAAATTTATCTCACAATTTTTGTGTCTGTTTTCAATTCGAAGAATCGAATTCCTGGGAGGCTTCGATTAGTGAAATTCTGAATCGTCCAAGTACGTTTGATTATCACTGTAAAATTCTTTCGCATGTTTGCTTCAGTTTCAGAAAAAATTTGTTCACGTATCCATTTCGACATTTTTGAGCAGGTTAAACATCACCTTATTTCCTATCAACAGGCTGAAAATCATCGTATACGCCGAAATTAGTTTGTTCAAATAAGATTATGTTCACTATGTGACTGCAAACATGACGCCGTGAAACATAAAATTGAGGTGTTTTTTGAGGAGAACTGATTATCGAATTAACAAATACGAAAAATCTAGTTAAATCACCTACTTCTAGTTTGTGAAAGTGTATTTCCCATGCGCATGTTTACTCGAGATTTGTTACTTGGTTAAGTGATAACGAAAAGATCGAATCTATTTTTGAGTTATGGAGTTTTTTACGGTTAATCAAATGTTTTTAATCCAATATTTAGATCACTCAAATTTTCTGTAGTCTTAACACCTGACAGCTAGAACATCCAAAGTGTGCACTTTACCACAAATTATTTGTAATTGAACAGAATGCACCTTTGACTTACACTTATCTGTTTTCGACACAATTTTAACTTCAAACATCATGTACACTATTCGGAAAAATTATGTGTTCAATTTATTGATAGCATTCGGTAGGTTGAGATGACTTAGATTGTATCCCATTAGATGCTCTAACTTTGTACTACATTACTCGAAGTAATCGAATTGGTATATTCTGGGCCCAGAGTTTCAAGTTTTGTCGTTTTTTTGAATGGTAGATAATTTTTGTTGACTCTCACATAAGTTATTTAAATTGATTTCGTTGTTATTACTTTTTTTCTTTCTCAGATAATCTCATACTAATACTGACTTTGATAGCTTTGGTGGTCAGCATAGCCTTATTCTTTCTAATTAGAAAGTTATAATAACAATTTCATCATGTAACCTTTAGCTGTGTGAATGCTAAATATTTATTTCTGTCAGACTGCTAGTTATTTGGATACAATTTTGCCTGTAAAATAAATTTCGTGACAAGGTGAAACTCTGTGTTCTTCCATTCAATGGATTCATTGAATTCATGAGAGCAAATCAAATGACTGACCAACAAATATTTTGGATATGGAAAGTACGGTAAGCCGACTTTCTGTGTTCTTGGACGCAACAAATCAATAGAACCCCACATTTGGACCGTTAAAGTTAACGGAAGTGAAAAATCGATGTACACTATTGCACAAAAATGTTGTGTAGAATGACCGTAATTACTCACTGTAATTGACGAGTCTGTTATTTCGAGAAACACTGAACAACTAGCAGTGTCTTTATTGAGGAACAATATGATCATAATTACCGTTTATAAACACAGTATAAATAATCGTAAGAACCTAAGTCAGGCTCATCCGATGTTTGTTATGCACTTGTTTGTATTGTTTGATTGAGATGAATTCTTCAGTAGTGTTGAATTACTTAACAAACAGTAGCGATAGTCAGAGAGTGAAGACGTAAGTTTGAGCATAGCGATATCGATAACATGTAGTTAGAGCCGACTGACTGTAAAGATGCTAACCAGAAAAACGTGAATGAATGATGAGATGCTACAATCTCGTAGTCAACTGATCGGTCCAGGAAATATATCCTAAATGAAGATATTTATGAAGCGAGTTCTGGGAATTCAACATCCCTAACACTCCTCCCCTTTTTAATTGCTCACGCTCCTTGGGGTGACCTGCATCGTGATTGTTGTTCGTCGCTGTCCGTGAGAATACCTTCTGGAACGGAGATCAGCTTGTGACTTAGATTCTACTCGTAAAGGGGCTGCTGGTAGGTTGAAGAAATCAAGCAGGATGTCAAGAGGGAGATTTTCCGACCTGTGGCTAGCCGTTTGTGTATCTGATTTCAATGACGTGAACATTCGTCGCCTCCTCCCTCTACTTCGTACATAACTCACCCAAATCTTGTGACCACTCGAGCATCTACCCAGGGACCATGATTTGCTCTGTAATCATGGGCGAACAAGGGGCATCTAACTTCGTAATAGGATTGCTTTTGCTTCTTTGTCTCTACTGATGTTGGTGAATTAGTCGGATGCATCAGGCTGTGGATCGTTTTCGGTCTTTTTCCCATCAAGATTTCTGTTGGGGACTTTTGCTCCTGTAAAGGAAATTTTGTAATGCATGAGCTGGAGTTCCTTTCCTTTTTGACTTAACCAATGCCCATTTAAACATATCCACAAACCTTTCCGCCTGCCCATTCGTTTGCGGGTTAGGGTTAGGGTGTTGGCGAGCGTAAGTGTTTAATGGCTAGCCGTTGTCAGAAAGTTTGGAATTAGGAAGAAGTAAGTTGAGAGCCACTGTCGGAT